GAGAGCAAATCCTCCTCCAAGTGAGCTGTTTATCAAGCCACAGGGTTTTGCACAAGTGGCAAAATTCCTCATGGCTTTATTTCTCATGGAAAATATCTTAAAACTGACTTAGAATTTTTCAATCTCACTTTACCAACAGCAGAAGCCAGTTCAGCTCCTTCCTTTACCTTTGTTGCGTGTGTACTAGGTAGGTTTGGCATCTGTTGTCTTTCTGGTAGTAAATTTTCTGTCCTTTAAGAATAATGAGATAAATGTAAATGAATATAAAAAGGGAATGAAGTGTGCACTCAAAGCATTATCTTTTAAGTTACAAAAGGCTATGCTTGAGACTTTGAGAGACGTACATTTCTTTTAATTGAAAAACTCAGCAAGAGCATTCATTAGGACATAGCCCAGAGGCAGATGTGCCAGTTGCTGCACACATGGAACAAAGTATTTCCTACCATGTAGTGCTTACAACCTGCCTACAAAAGTTTTGATCGCAGAGCTTAATGTTTTAATCTGTTATCTACTGTTGTATCCTTTTCGTTTGCTTTGTCCGACTTCTGTTCACATTTCCAAGCCTTTGTGCAGGGCCTGAATCACAGCTGGCTTTCACGTTGCACTAAGTCATTGCAGAACTGATCGGCCCTTCTGCTGGGTCAGCCGAGCACAGCCGCGGCAGGTGCTGAGGAGACCCTTCTGTTTCTGGCTTTAACTGCATAGGGAGGGGGCACATGCAGTCAAACTGGCAGTTAGGCTGAGTCCGGCACATGGGAATGCAGCAAGGAAGGGAGATATCAAAGCAAAATCTGACTGCCACTTAAAACTCTAGCTTTTTCTTTTCTTCCCCTCCAAGTGACTTGTCTGAAGGCTGGGAGCGTTCCCATAACACTTGCATCTCATGGGATCCCCTGCCCCTTTACACTCAGCAATCCAAAAACCGGTGTATTTTGAAAAACACCACTTCTCCCATGTGGATTGTTCACAGAAATGTAATTTGCTATTTTCTTTAATAAACTATTTATACTGAGCATGTTTTCTAGTGTTGTCTGGGGATTCTGTTAGGGTTATAGTAACACAGTATGAATTAGTCCTGGACCGTTCTCCACTTATTACATGGAAGACTGTGAAGTCTCTCCTTGCCTTACTTCTAGTAGAGCTGGTAAAAAAAAGAAAACAAAACAGAAAAAGGAATCAGTGCTATAAGAGAGGCTGTCCCAGAGGTTCGTGCGTCAAGCATGAGCGTATGGTAGTGAAGGAAAGAGTTAAAGCAGGCTGCTGGCATTGAGATTTGTCTGTGCAACATGCATGGCTGTATGTCAGGCTGAACACAGGCCTTTGCTTGCTCCCGCTTACCTCAGTGATGCGATAAATCCACGGCAGAAGCTGAGCCACATTGGTATAAACCCCAGGGTGGTTGGGTTCGGCACAGCCCCGGCCCCAGCTCACGATGCCTACCAAGCGCCACGTGAATTCATCCTGGCAAACCAGGGGGCTCCCGCTGTCACCCTGCCAGACAGCACGGAGTAATGAAGCAGCTCTGCCCCGCTGGCAGCTGGGATGCAGATCAGGCCGGCTTCTCCCACACGGCTTTGTTCCATCGGCCGTACGAGAAGCTGAAACATGGGTACAAGCAGCAGCATGTGCCTCCCTGCAAGGTTTCCATGTTCCTTCTTTACAGAAGCTAAATCTCAGCCCGACATCAACGCGCTGGGGCACTGCGGGCTCCACGCTGCAGTGCAAGATGCAATGGGCCCAACGCTGCCCTGCACAGACTGTTTACTGCAAGCTATTGCCACGAGCCCCAGCATTTGCTGGTGCCTAACAGGAACATGCAACATATCCGTCCTTTCCACACCTGCTACGCACACCGAGCACACACCACTTGCTCCCTCCTGTTACCTGGCATGCATCTATTTTCCCATGCAGGTAGCCGGCACACAGCATCCTGGCAGTGAGCTCGCCTGCATACATGCACGAACTATTGCACCTCATGGTACCGATTAAGGGAACAGGTGCTTCCTTCAGTGTCTCGCTAACCTGCGCTGGGGAGGGAGAAAGAGAAGCCAAGAGGGAAACAAGATCTGCAGGGAGCAAGAAGGGAAGAGCAGGGCGCTAGCTGGAGAAGTCAGAAGATGGGAAAGATGGGATTACCTCATGGGATTCAATACAGCCAGACCCACAGGAGCTGTGCATGTGGGTTGCAGAGCTGCTGGAGTCGGGCGGGGGCTGAAGGCAGGAGGGGGCATTTGCAAGATCACATGTGGCATGGAAGGGGCTGGCCAGGGCCGGTGGGGAGCAAGGGGAGAGCCTCCAGCCAGTGCTGAGCAGCAGGGACGAGACAGAAGCTTACCTTGGTCTGGTCTGGTGTAGCCCCAGCCGGAGACCCAACACTGCGTGCCCTGGAAGAGGTCCCGGTGGAAGGGTGGCAGACACACAGCACGGATGGCATCTGGTAAGAAGGTGACAGGGGTAAGCGCCAGGCCAGTGGGGACAGCTCCGTGCTGTGCTGAGCACGAGCTGCCAGGGAAGGGCTGCAGAGCCCTCAGCCTGCAGAGACACTCAGCCTGGCACGTTGAAGCAAAAGACTCTCGGGCCAGGTGCTCTGGAGACTGCAGCTCCCGCAGCCACCTTCCCGGTAATTCACAGCTCTGGCGTAGTTCAAAACAGCGTGCTGCTGCGCATGCTGCCTCCCAGGTGCCAGGCTGCATATCCCTAAAGAGCAGCTCTGAAGTGGCAGGTTCAGAAGAGGCTGGTTTTTGGCCATCTCTTAATTGTGGGATAAGACAGACGACTCTACAGATGGGATAAGGACACAACAGCATCATGACAGCATCTTACCTGAAAAATTCAGGGGGACTTGGAGCTTCATCAGAGCAATGTCGTAGTCAAGGCTACTGTCGTTATAAAGCGGGTGGTAAATTATTTTCTTTACTGATACCCCGGCCTCCTGCTCGATTGAGCCATGGGTGATAGCGCCTGCAAAAACCAGCCAGGCAGACGCTTGAAGCCGCCTGTAAGTGAGCAGAAATACAGCATGCCTCTTACTGCAGGGCAACAAGCGCCAAGGCCTGGGATAAGAGCAGATACAGACCGCCTCCGAGGCTGGGCACGGGAGAGCCCGGAGGTACCTGGGCACGCAGTGAGCCACCGTGACGATCCATTCGCGTGCCAGCACGGAGCCCCCGCAGCGGTGCCGTGCGCCGTGGTACAGGCTGACCTGCCAGGGCCAGCGCCCTGGGGGCACGTCCGCCCCCCCAACCACCCGCGCAGCGCCGGGGCGCAACCCGCACTCTGCAAGGCAGCCAGGGAGCACGTGTTGGGTGGAGGCCCAGGTGCCAGACCCTCACGCTGCAGGGCGAGGGAAGCGGGTGCAATGGGAGCGACAAAACTGCTAGATCCAGGTGGAGATCACAGGGACACAGGAGAGGAGGCACTCGCCTGAGCATTTCAGAGCCACAGTTTGACCCGATTCACAGCTGCTCCTGCGCAGGAATAAGCCTCTGGTCAGAATACACATAAACCAAAATCCCCGGGGCACTAGGGAGCTCCAGGGCAGCTGCGGCAGTCCCCAGAGGGGCTGCTTTCACACAAAACCAGGACAGCTTTCTGCGTTCTTAAGCCTGAAAAAAAGGCTTCTGTTTTCTTCAGCCCCACCAGCAAACTCTGCCTCCCCAAGACTCACCCTTACCTGACCTGCCACATATCTTCCAGGCTGCCTTCCTGGCGGGGTCTCACTTGAACGAACTCCTGTGTGTCATTCACCTCGACGTCCGTCAGGTTCACTCCTTTCTGATGGGTCACTCTGCAGAAGCAACAGTACATGTCCCAGGAAGGGCTGGGGACCTGCTGGGGGATCAGGAATTTAGCCCTGCCATGGGAACAATGGTCCGCAGTCCTGCTGCTCTGGCAGCGGGGCATTAACCTCCTTGGTGGGAAGGATCTTCTGCAGCAATTCTCGCAGGTCCCCATGCCAGCCCGAGCCCCGCTGTCTGCCCTGCATTCACCAGGGAGCTGTGCGATCTGGCACTGCTGCCCTGACAGACCTCCCAAGCCTTCAAGCACCTGCTTTTGCCAAGACCATCCCCCTCGGAAAAGGGCAAGTAGGGGTCGAAGCGGCCGCCTCTGCCATGCCCACCTGAGATACCCGAGATGCCGGCAGAGCAGGGTGCCCAGGGAGCGACTCCAGCGCTCATGGCACACCAGGAGCCAGCCAGGATGGCCTTCCACCTGTGCTTCCAGCAAGGAGTTTGCCACATTTATTCTGAAAGACACTAAAGCCATTCCACTAAAGACAACCTGCAAGTTCCCTTCCTTGCAGTGTTTTGTGCAGGGCCAGCACAGTGGAGGGTCATGCACATCTAAAGCAAAAAAAAAGAAAAAAAAACCCCAAACCCCAGAAAAAGCCAGTTGAAGCAATTAGAAACTATACATGAACCTATTCGCATATTCTCAGTGCCTGTGTGGCAGCGCTGGCGAGTGATTACACACAGAGTCCTGCAAGAGTTGCCTTTGCTGCAGGATCACTCCATGCAATGAAGCCGTAATGCTGAGGAATGCAGCAGGACTTAAAAGCAAAGCAAAATAATTGCAAAACGCAGCTGAAAGAAGCTAGTGGATCAGCAAGAGATACTTATTATTAAAGAGCATCCTTTCTGTTCTTGCTGGGCTTGGCAGGCATGGTCCTGCACATTGCTCCCCGGCTCCCATCCTCTGTAGCAGCAAGCAAAGGTGTAAACCTCTACTGGGAGCCCCACGGACCACGGGGTCTTCCTCTTCACCGTCACTGCACCCTGGCATCGCATCTGGCTCCTGCAGTGGGGTGAAGCCCTGGTCTGGCTGAGGCTTCTTCAGGTGTTTCACTTCAGGAAACAGAGAAGGGGGTGAAGGTGGACTCACACAGCCTGGGCAGCATCCGAGGATGCACAATATTGGGAACGATCCTGCACTGCCCGCTGGAAGAGGTGATGAGCCTCTCAGCGGGCACAGCTGCAGCTTGCTGCTGGGACCCCAGCAGCCAGCAGCAGAGCCCGCACCAGCAACCTCCCCCCGTCCCCCGCC